TGCTTCTGGATTTCTGCACTGTTGAATATTTACCATGTTTTGAATTTCGGCATCGACATGTTTTGAGACTTTAGTGTTTGCTTCTTTTATCTCCCCTTCAGAAACTGTTGTACAAATCATAAACATTATAGTTACAGCTATTGGTTGCTTTTGATCCATTTATCCTGAAAAATTAAACATTAAAATATATGTTGAAAACCAGTAATAACAACAAAATAATATTAGAATAATAATATTCATCGATAATATTTTTGGTTTGGTCTCATAATTGCAAGGCGAAGTTTAATAAAATAACTAGATATTTGTGTTACACTTTTTGATTTAATTTTATGAAATGTGCGTTTTGAAACAAATTATTAGAGTATTTGATTGTGATAACATAGTACTCATAAATACTTTCGCATAAAGTAATATTAATAAAGTAGTAACTTTTTTTTACGTGAAGAAGATAAATAGATCTTATATATTGGCGTTGATCTTTATTTTTTAATAAATATTCTCTATTTTAACACAGTTGTTCATAATATATGCAAGAATTGAAATAAAAGTTAGAAGACTTACGGTATTATAAACAGGGTCTAAAAGACTTTGTAAATAATAATACATCAACGGATAACAATGATTTTTCACTTGTTGCATAGTTTAGCTTTCTTGGAGTGAGAAATATTAGTGAAGGAAAGAAATTACGATGACATAAAATGATCCATTACTTGATTGTTTTAGTATCTGATGCTAATAATGCATATCTTATACAATGTTTTCTAACCACACATTTCAAACATATGAAGAACCATCAATTGATTGGAAATGATTTGTTGTATCATAAACTTCATAAATACGTTATATTCAATTACATTTTGTTTCATTAACACAAAAAATTCAATCATGACGGTGAAGTACTTCAATAATTTTATTTAAATATATTTTTAAAAGCTATGTAAAATAATAATCTAAAAGCAATTTTTAAATGGGGTAAGAAATTGTTAAAATACATGGAGGTTGAAATACACTTGGAAATACATGGAGGACACAGGAAGTCAGAAATATACAAAAAAATCTCTTATACATAAGGGTTTATTAAAAATATCTATGAAATACGAGTTGAATCGTGTAACTTAAATTTTGTAATGCATTGGCCTTTCTTAGATTGATTTGTCAACACAAAAATTGAAAAAACATAGTAAAGACTGGAAAAGGACTGATTTACGTGTCTGCAAAAACGATTAGATATTATTATAAACTATAATGAATAGCAACAAGGGACGCGGAATTGAGTTATATTTCTAAAGAAATAGCAATTAGCTCAATGTCAAATTAAAAATCGTATACAAAATAGTTTAATTCTGTCCACAAAACATATATTCTAAAGAACTTACCATTCGATTATAAAGCAAGTAGAAAAAGGAATGACGGCGCCCGAAAAAATGGGGTAAAAGTTGTCAATGACGCCAAGACACCTCAAATTAATAAACCTCTCGACTATAACGATGATAATCCGCCAGATATTTGCGGTGCACCCGAATTGTCTGGCGAGTACTTCTGTGTGTGAGCGTGTGGTTCAACTTGGCGAGAGAACTTCCCGCGTGGCTCCGCTAGCCCTTCCCTTCCCTCTTCCTTGCTGGCGCCCTTTGAGAGAAAACCGCATCAAAAGCTCGTTACGCGCGCGTAGGAGGGGGAGGGCGGGGGAGGCGCGTCTGGGTGGGGGTTGTTTGTGGTGGGTGCCTCAAAGCGGCGTTCATCCATTCACAAGGAGCCCTCACACGCACCACACATCGACGACTCACCTAAGCGACGTCTAAGGTGATTACGAATGAGCCAAAAGAGCCTTCCACTTGAACACCTTGAAGCGTAGGTCGGAAACGTGTCATTTGCCATGTCAATCTAGGGAGGTGGCGGAGAAACTTCATTTAAGCCGAATTTTTGGCGTATTCAGTTGGTAGTACCAGCTTAACAGAAAAGCAGAGCGCCTGATAAATATTTAAGCTGCCACTACTTCATTTCCTCTCTCTTAAAGTACATCACAATAGGTGGTGATCTGTCGTTATTGTGATAAAATCTGTTAAATAAGATTAATATTCTTGAACTTAATTACATAGTAAGAGAAGTATGTAAATAACGAACAACTTTTTCAGAACATTATATTCTACAGTGATTTTTCTATAGCCTACCATGTTATTAAGTAACATGTATTTATATTAACAGATTTTCGACCCATGTCTTGCAGTGGTTCGACGCGAGATGAACCAATCAAGTCGGTTAATATTATTGTTAGTTTATTCCTAACAGATTTTTTAACGGTATATTGGATAGATAATAAAAAATGTATCTAGGATATGGAGTTTATTTTTCGATATTTAGTACATTGATGACTAGATTAGACCATAATTATACCCCATCCAGTTTTCAAACAAACCTGATAGCGAATATTCACATAGTTCTTTATTGGAAAATAAATGTGCATAGTCCCTATTCACAACATTTATAAGAAATTAGTAATACTTTTATAATGTAATGAATATCGTATAACTCATCAAAAATTATACAAATAGATTTATTTATTGGATGCAATTTTCACGTATGCATTCTTGCGTTCGAGATTTGAGGTAGTGAGAAAGAACATTCTTTTCGGATGGCTTTTGCAAAACATTGATTATTGAAGAGTTTTGAGCGGAATAATTTAGGGGTAAGTTTCTGATACAAAGAATAATCTACACTTCAGGCGATGCGATGGTATTACGTACTTAAATTCTTAATTCGTATAGGAATTAATTTATCGGTGTCCCCGGCGGCTATAGCATATCAAACAAATATTTGTACCCAAAAGTAATTTTTTAAGAGAGGTAAAATAAAAAAGAAAATGTAGGACAACTAATATATCCATTTATTGAAGGTCGTCATTTGAATTCATCATTTCTATACTTCAATTCGGTATGTGGGACAAAGGGTATACCTAAATGACTATCAATACATTTGAAAATGAGAAGAAAAAATTGTTTGAAGTAATAGCGTATGATAACTGATTGGTTTTAAGACGATTATGTATAGGTTTTAAATACCAAAATAGGTACTTCAGTTTTGATATCGTTACTATGTTAACAATTCTTTAGCATAAACTTTTGTTTATTCTGTGAATCCAAGTGCGACAACTGTTATGTTCATTAGCTTCGTAAGTGTAGTGCGTGTTGGAGAGGATATTCTTTCCCATCTGGATGGTAAGAGCCGTCTCCAACATACAAATCACATTGTGGGATTTTTTCTATCCATGTATCTTCCACCAGAGGGTCACAGCTCCTCACGGGACAAACTTTATGCTCCCGTCATCTGTGATAGTGTAGTGCATAAAAGTGTAGCATCTGTGATAGTGTGAAAGCGAGGGACGAGGATGGGATAAAGTAGAGGAAAGAATGATCGCGAACAATTCGTGACTCATTTGTTAGGGTTACTGTTCCGACATCCTCAAAGTATTGATCGGAGAAATCAATAAACACAGATAATAGCAGCCGGCAGCTAGAATTCTTCTGCACACTGACCGGGAGAGATGGTTCAGGGCATCAACTGATGTCACTGCAGCCCCTCTGATCTGGAGGTTATAAGTTCGAGTCCTGACGGTGGCAGGACACTAGCTTGCTAGTTAGGTCGAATTCGGTCGCTGTTTGGAGGAGAATTCTTGAGGCCGGCTGTTCTGATCGATAGTTTTCCGAGTTTTTTTTCCTCTCAACACCAGACGAATGTTGGAACAGTACCCTATCAAACGGACACGAACCGCGCGCGATGTTTCCTACCTTTTTCTTGTCCTATCCTCTTCCCTTACACACACACACACACACACACACACACACACACACACACACACACACACACAACACGCACTGCATGAGTACACATGCCCGGAACCTGTCAGAAGCTTAGAGCTTGTCTCGGTTCAGGCGGTGCCTCGCTTCCTGATTGGTGAAAACTCTGCTAGCCGACGGTAGGTCAGCGCCGAATCTCGCCATACAGAGAGAGAGAGAGAGAAAGATCCCCGCCACCTCCCGAGCAAAAAATACAAGCATTACACTTACGGGACTAATAACCTTGTTATTTGACGTGCCCGAAATCACTAAAACAACCAAATCCTCCACACGGCGGCAGAGTCCGACCTGTCTACGTAGCTAGTGTCGAAAATCCTACCATCATGAGGCCTCTGACCTCCCTGTCAGCAGAGTGACACTTCTGTTGATACTCTGAGCCACTTCTCCCGGTACCAACATTTGAAATATCACCCCCCCTATCAGTGATACGGATGCAAGCGACGCTCGATCGCCTTACGCCGTCGCGTCCTGACGGAGCGGAGCGTTAAGCACCTCGCTGGGGAGGGAGGGCGATTTTCATATTCCTCTCCACGCGGGGCGGCCGCCCACGGAATCTTAATGGGGGCGGTGCGCGTGCCCCGGGTGCCTCTGCCACCCCAACCTTCGGCGCCAACCCCCGCGCACAGTGGACGGAGAGGAAAACACGGTGACATCTACTGTACTATATGTATGGATTTAAAAGGCTTAAGGTTTTCATTTAGGGAAAAGTTTGATTTAAAAAAAACAAATTTCATGATTTTTGTCTTGGTGAATGTTATACAATTTGCTCTTATTAACACGTCTAATAGTAAAAACAATACATTGTAATAGTATCGAATTAACGCTTGTATGTTGTCATTTCTTCATTACATAGTTTTCTAGATCTACTACGTTCCATGAAGTTTGTTGTCCCAGTAGTTTTGTTTTTAGAGTAAGTATTGTATTATATCTATGGTACGCAATGTTTCGTAGCGTTTTTTGTTCAAAGATACATGCACAAAATTTTTCATACTGTTAAAGAAGAGGGTATCTTCGATAATATTATTTAAAATTATTGACAATTTACTAATTGACTTACTCGTACCAACTCCATCTAATATTTCAACATTATGAAACTTCGGTTCCCTATTACGATTATGCTTAATTATTCAAATTATAACAGGTGTTTCCCTAGCTATTCATTATACTGCCGACATTAACATAGCATTTAATAGAATCAGACATATCTGCTAATGACGAAAAATGCTATTTGGTTATACAGGTGCGTGTGAGTTGTGAACACAATTTACTAGTGCTTTACTTTCAACGGTGTGATATTCACATTACTTGCTAATTTATAGGCTACCAATTGGGACGGTCGATTAAATGAAAAATTGAAAGTGTGCGACAATCTATTTAAATCGGTTTACTGATTCCATATTCATCATTGCACAGTGCGCACATTTAATTTGTTTCGTTAATTTTTTGACGTGGTAAAATAAAGAATATTGAGCAGATTTAATACACTTTGGTGTCTTATGATTGTAAGTTGGTCGCACTGAGGCATTCTGGCGAAGGCGTTCTGTGGTTTCGAGATGAATGGAGGCGTCCGTATTAAATGCTGCCATTTGAACTAGCTTGCCACGCACGCGGGGATCGAGGGCTCTTTGATGAAAGGCGAAAGGAAATTCCCCTTGGCTTATGAATTGTCCCTGAAATTATGACTGGTGAAGAAAAAGGAGAGATCAGAAGCCGTATAACTTATATTTTTTAAGGGGAGTTAGGTTATTGAAAGTCGCATAATAATAGTTCGTTGTACAAATATTAAGATGGCTTGTTATTAATAAGCAAACTACCAAAACGTCAGAAATGTATCTCTTGATTGGTGTCTGCGTTAGTATTTCTAAAAGCTTTACATATTTTGAATATTAGCTGATGGATAGACAAAATGATGAAATGAATGATGGATTTATAGTGTCATATTTGCCGTAATTGAGCAGACAAAATACAAAATCTATACCATATCTCGAGAATTTCGTATGACCTTCGGTTAGAGGTAAAGTTGCATCAGCCACTACCAACTACAACATTTAGATTTGAATCGTATTATTGTAATCGGAGTTATACCAGTGTTTTCGATTTGTAAGTGACCACAAGTTTATTTCTATTGAGTAGAGAGGTAGAAAATGAAAGAATAAAGACAATATTGATATGCGGTGCTTTTGAAAACGGTGAAACACCAAGGAAGTGCATTAAGTTTGAGGGGAGAGAAATTAATTGTCCTTATAAGAGTAATTGTAACGTACACGAATTAATGCCTCAATTAAAGTTAGACTCGCTATACATTCACAATTGGCGAATTTTTACTTCTTAGTTTCCAAAAAGTGTTTTTTATTTCTGACAGCTGATTTGAATTCGTAGGATGACGTTTAAGACTGTTATCTGAATCATCTTGACACGAAGGAATTTTGAAGAGTACTTGATTCATTATTTAGTGATTCCGGGCACGTCAACTACCAACATCATTAGTTCCGTAAGAGTACTGCATGTTTGCTCGGGAGGTGGCAGTGATCTTTCACCCGCTGTATGGCGAGGTGCCGTGTTGACCTACCGTCGGGTAGCGGGGTTTTCCTCAACCAGGCATCACCCACCAGCGAGGCAGACCCGGGACAAGCTCTCAGCTCCTGACGGGTCTCCCGGCATGTGTGGTAATGCATGGTAGTGTAAGTGTGTGTGTGTAAGGGATAGGACAAGGAAGAGGAAGGTGAGATTGCGCGCGGTCCGTGGCCCTTTTGTTGGGGTACTGCTCCGGCATTCGCCTGGTGTTGATCGGAGAAATCACGGAAAACTACCGATCAGACCAGCCGGCCGCTAGAATTCTCCTCCAGACAACGATTGAATTTGATCTAGCTAGCAAGCTAGTGTCGAAAATCCGGCCACTGTCAGGACTCTAATCTAGAACCTCCCGGTCAGAAGGTCTGCACAGACATTAGTTGATGCCCTGAGCCATCTCTCCCGGTAAGTGTGGAGATATGGAGGAAATGCAAAGTCATGTTGTGGGGATCAACGCCTCTTTTCGCAAAGTAATTTAGAGGCGAATTTTACTTGAGGTTTCTCAGAGTATTGGCAGGTGGCGCAGGTGATTCGGAAAGTCGTAAAACATTTAATGATTTCTGCGATGACATGTTTAAGCGATTCCCAAGAGGTGAAATGCAAATGTAATAAAAAAGTCGTTTTAAGCTCAAGTTTTTAATGCTAGGTCTTGGAGATGTGCATATATAACTTTATATAGCCGACGTGATTCATATGCACATAACAAAACACTTTTTTCGTAACTTAAGGGTCAGGCAGATAGTAAAAGTAGCCGACCACGAGAATGAGACCGACAATGTTGCAAAAGAGGTGGAAAATAAGCTCTTCTTCTTTGTATTATTCTTATTACTTTTATTTTTATAATATCAAAAAGAAGGTTATACATTACAAGATACGTAAGGATATTCTCCATAAAAAAGCAAAAATTAGGCTTCGCTCAGGTCGCCTCAAAGTGACGGTACTTTGCGTTCTAACTATTCCTACTGGCAGTACTATTTTGCATGTATGTGCAAAATAATACTTCCAGAAGAAACTTATCGAATTTACATGAACTCCCATCTGCCTTCTAATTTTGAGCTTCCATACGTGCAAAGAGAGGAATCACAACAACGGGACTATCTGTTACTGCGTTGTTCTCATGCTGAGCGAATATAAGATTGAAAAGGGCAGAGATTATCGGAGGACTTAATTTTCACAGACATAATTTAGATTTTTTATATCTCCACAAGCCCAGTACTTTTCCCGCAGGTCTGATTCCTGGAATTCTATCTAAAATATTTAGAAAGCAGTGGGACAGCCTAAACAAAATATCAATAAAAGTTGATAGTCTAGTAGAGGACAGGCTGGAATAATTGTTCAATAAAAAACTTCCATGCTTAAGTATCATTTTTGTAATAAAAGGTCTTTTGTGCAGTTTAAGCGAGAGCTAGACATGCGGTAACGAAAGCTGCGTTCAGAGAGAGCCGAAATAACAACCCCAGGCGAGCGCATGCGACTGTTGCAAGCGGATAAGACACACACCGCGTTATCGCTGCTCCTCAAAGCCGCCGGAGAAAGCGGCGCCTCGCAGCTTATCTCTCTCTCTCTCGCGGGCGCTAAGGCTAAGGGCCGCCCTCAGGGCAGGCGGACCTCGCCTGATAAGGGCCAAGCGGCGACCCGGGATTGGGGCTCCGCTGCGTCGGTGTTGCAGAGTTCGTGAGAGGAATCTGCGCCCTTGGTTGTCGCCACAGACGACGGTGCCGGCGACGCAGAATGCTGTCTAACAAACGTAGACTTCTTAGCTTGAGTCAGGCAGCTTGGAAACAGAAAAATATATCAACGTTCGTGAAGAAGGCACCAGCGTACAGCAATTAAACAAAATAAGACACCAAAAATTTCTGGACTATTATAATTCTTAACTCGCATCGGGCTACTCGATGTTTTCTGAACTGCGATAGTATGCGTAGATGGCCATTTTGCTCATGCGCAGTGTTCCGTTTCTAATGCGTGTGTCTCGCTTTTAACGGTCTTCCGGTGCAAATATATCTCGTGCGAATTATACGAGCGGTATCCCGCTGCCACCTCCATTCGCCCGCAACTGGTTCTAGCCTTCGCATCAGACGCTGTCACTGCGCCACGGGCGCAGGCGATCGGCAGGAGGACCACGTGCAACACAAATTTGCTACCTGGAACAATTAAAGGATAATTAACAAAAGGAAACACTTGTAAAAGAATTGTTGTAAAAATTCTTTGACTTTTAAAGCAACCGTTTCAAACAAGTTTGTTTCGTTGAACACACAAATTGAGCCCGTATAGTGAAATATATAATAATAAAATAGAATATATTTATAGAAAAATGTGTTTTTTTAATTAATTATCTTCAAAGTATCTACTAATAATGTACTTTTTGTCTGTTAAAGAGTTTTATAACGTATTAATAAAATCATTAACTATTGTAAAAATTAACGTCACATTTAACAATTAGTAAAATTCAGCACAAATATCAGACACAAGTATGGTAAAAACATTGTAGACTAATAAATCTAATTTTTGCAGGTACTGAGTTATGGAGAGTATCTTAAAATGATTTAGAGCAGGCCTTCTCATTTTGCATAATTTTCTCTTATCAATTGGCGTCCGAAAAGATTCACGAAGACAACAGCGGTAGGAGGGATGTAGTTTTAATCACAATAACGAAATACAAAAGGGCAAATTTGTGAAAACACAATTCTAAATGAAGAATTATTTCAAAGATACCTTCTTTTTTATTTCACAAAATCACCTTGGAGCTTTTTTCATACGTGGTAATAAATATATTCAATCTAAAGGTTAGGTTTTGCAAAGGAAATACATCACTATTCTCATCCCGCCAGATAACATGCTTTTGATGTGTGGAAATTCCTGTTCTCGGTAGTGTTTCACATATAGAAACGAAACTGAAATTCCTGTGAGTGGTGATCATTAAAACTTCTTTCGCAAACTTCAATATTGTAGATTAATCGCATCGAATATTTTTTAAAATTATTTTAAGTTCACAAACAAATTAAAAGAGAGATCATCCAAATAAAATTCACTAGAAATCCAAATTTAATACGAGAATGAGCAATCTCAATTTTACGTGTGTTTCAAAGCGACCTTTTAGAAATTATTTTTTGTTCCATCTTCAGGTTTTAAGCTATGACAATTACATTAAACATCACATACTATATTAAAAATATTACTTAACGAACTATGAGTGCACGTTACAAAGGCATGAGGCTTACAGTTATAATTTTCACGACATATAAACATAGCTAATGGGGAAAGCTAGTAAATTCTCTACTGACACAGTGTACGATCCGAGATAAACCTACCCATGCTCTCTTGTCTGTGAAGAACCAGTATATGCTTTATATGCCGGCTTCCTCTCTTGCGCGTCACATGTGAGGTTTGCGATGTGGAGGAGAGCACTTCAAGCACGAAATTAAAATGCCACTCCGCGCCAGTGGCGAGCTTCCGCGGTGTCGACCTCCATTACATCGCAGGGTACGAAAGAGGGGAAAAGCTGTGGGAAGCGGCGGCCACATTACTTACTCATGCTTTCTCTCTCACACACACGAATACGCAACGCATACACGCGTGTACACGCGCGTACACGCACATACGCACAATCAAAAACGCAAAGTCCCTTAATTAG